GGATCAAACCCAGATATCAATGCAGATATTCTTGCAAAGGCATTCCAAGTGGACAAGAACGTCGTTTATCAAATTCAATCAAAATTCTAGACTTTTATGTCATCTTTGATTGTTAATTTCAATAACTTACAATTTCCTACATCTTGATATGTGTTTGTTTCATCGTCGTCTTGTTAAATTAAAAAGTGAATAAAAGTAATATATTATTTTAACGGTCCTATACATTTGTGTTGTTTAATTATTGCAGCTTATGTACGATCCAAACTGAAAACTCTAATTATTAAAAATGGAAAATCCGAAAGCTAGCACTTTGTAGAAATAACTCAAATATCGTATACCAAACGCCATCGAAAAGTCGTTATGCCTATAATGACTCTTGTTATTGTAATTGTAGTAGAGTTCCAGGACTCAAAATACTTGTACGATGGGGTATTGCACATAAGCACCCTACGGTCACTAAAATCTTGGTTGCCCTTGAAGACAATAATATTCAAGTTGGGTATTATCACATTTAACCCTGAAAACCGTTACATAAATGTACTTGAGGGGCCAACATTGGATTTCTAGTTCATTTCTAAATCAACATCGGATTTGGCTATGTGTTGCTATTGCAGGTATGAGTGGCAAAAATTCATGTCATTACCATTGAAAATGTTCGCTGTGTTTGTATCAAAAAACTATGTCGGGCTTCGAATTTGGGTCACACACTATGCATTTGAACCCTTGTTGGATTAGGGACGAGCTCATATATTTATTATCAATGTATAATAAACATTTAATATTCCACCAAAATATTATCTAAAATATTAAAATGATTAAATTTAAATGGATTGAATCGATCATACCCACATTACGCTTCCATCTTTTTTGAATTGAGAATCGAACAACATACGGTGAATGTATCAAAYGTTGACGTATTTGATGAATTTGTCAACGTCGTACTGGTTTTTACATGTTTTTTATTAATAAAAACATGTCATATCACCTAAGCTAGTTTTTTATGTTCCATTGTTTTTTATATAAAGACATCACCAAGTTGCGTACTTCATCTCATATATTTCTCGAGTCAACAAAGTTCAACAAGAACAAGTTTCCACTTCCCAACAATGACATCTMGTTTGTTTTTACTCAAGTCTCCTCATGGGGAGTTGTTCACTTGCTATGGCTTTATATTCAAGTCCTCTCCAAGACTTTTGTGTAGTTGCACCAAAACGTAGAGGTCAAAAAAAATATAATCTTTAAATGTTGAAAAATGCTCAAATGTTAATAATCTGAAAATTTGTAGTATTTGTTATGTGTTTATGATCAGCTTCCTGCTTGTTTTTTTAATAGTATTCGTGAATGGTGAGGTATGCATAGATCCAAAGCTTGTGCGAGCAGACGATTTCTTTTTTAGTGGGATCCACCTTATGGGAGATGCATCAAATGCGGTTGGATCTAACGTGATTACCGTGACTGTAGTAGAGTCACCAGGATTTAACACTTTTCGTATTTCAAGGGCTTGTATAGACTTTGCTCCATCGGCTATTAACCCTCCACACACACACCCTAGGGCCATTGAAATCTTGACGGTCTTAAAAGGCAGTATTGAAATTGGTTTTGTCACATCTAACCATGAAAACCATCTCATTACTAAAGACCTTCAGAAGGGGGATGTTTTTCTCTTCCTACAAGGTCTAGTTCACTTCCACAGGAACATCAGAAACAGTTATGCTCATGTTATTGCCGCTTTGAGTAGCCATAATCCAGGTGCCATTACCATTGTAAATGCAGTGTTCCATTCTAACCTAGATATTGCTAGAGAACTTCTTGCAAAGGCCTTCCAGATGGACAAGAACGTTGTTTATCAAATTCAATCAAAATTCTAGACCCTCACATGATCTCAATTAAATTACATTTTTAACATTCATTATTTATTTAGAAAGACTTGAATCTTTTGCTGTTTGTGAATGTTCAGAAAAATTTAATTGAACTTGTCTAATAATTAGTTATATAGAAATGCTTTCAATTAAACTAGTTTAATCACATTTTAAACCATACAAAAATTAAGTCTCACAAACAACACCTAATAAATCAATCTTGGACACATTAACAATCTCTTCTACTTTTCCTTGATTGGATGAAAAAATTATATCACTATAAAATAAATGATTTCGACCAGTGAAATTTCCGTTAGTAATTACCCATGGATCACCCAGAAAATACCAATAGTTTCGATAGATTCTGATGTTTTTCAAAAAAAAAAAAACCAACAGAACCCATAAAACATATGGATTATATGTCGCTGATTTGAGCCTCCCACCAATAATTCGCTACCAACCTTTGTGACGTTTTGACAAATCGCCCCTTTAGCGACGAATTTGCCAGGGAAACATCTGTGGGTAGTAGTCTTTCATTTAGTAGTATTGTTTCATATAATTATCAATATTGAATTGTACATATCTTGTTATTTTTAGTAGTGTGACGCCCAATCCCAAAGCATATGCTTTGTTTTTTAACTGTAAATGTCCAGGTTAGTTTACGCGTAAGTCTATTCATAGCATGATAAAAGGGCGGACCTATGAGTTGCTGAGGCACTGAGCAGGGTCTTGTATGCCCGCTCAGCTAATTTTCGCAAGTAAAAAAATGGGTACGAAAGATGTAACCGCTCGAGAGATGTTCACAACTAAAAAACTATTTTGGGTAAGAAAGAAGCACACACTAAATTTGAGCAATACCCCAGTATATTAACGAAAAATACAACAAGCATAAAGCAAAAAATCACTCATAATCAACCACGAAAACCGAAAAAGTTCATCAAAAAATCAAATGTGCACCCGCTCAACAAAAATCCTTTAAAATTGTGTCATTTGCCTAAACACACATCAAACGACTTCACGAGCCTTTAATCCATCTTAAAAGTGCATCCGCTCAGCAAAAATCCTGGTTTGCCACTTCACAAAACCCTAGAAAGAACAACTTAGAAAATCCCCTGTACCGTTGTTATACATCTAACTAACAGGACCTCTACAAAGATTGAAATGTCGTTAATTAAGTATATCAAAATACTTTTAGACCTTGAAACTTTCAAAATAATCTCATAATCAATCTCTACAAATGAAATCAACCATTTGACCACATCAACAACAAATGTTCCTGTTTATCAAAGAAAAATGAGATCTATTTCATACGTTAAAAATTGTTCATCTATTTGTTAGCGCGTTAGTCGTAATTTATTAGGTATGGAAAATTAAAAGAGA